ACTTCAGCACTATGCTTGGAAGCCATTTAAGCAGCGAAATCACTAAGAAAAAACATAAAAATATGAAAAACTATGGCACTAGATAGACCACAAAAAGGACACTTGTTTACAGCAGGCGAGCTGAAACAAGAAGGCTGAGTTGCCTTCTTCCACTTCAGCTGAGAACGTGCACACCAGGCAATTCAAATTTTTTGCCATTTCTGGTCTGCAAAGGGTTTTCTTTGGCCAGTGAAGCAGCTCAAATTTTAATTCATTGCCAAATTTAAAAGTCAAGAAATTTCACATAAAAATACAGATTTCTGGTTTTCTTTCCAAAAAAGAAAAAAATCATAAGATCTAGTAACACAACAACTGGCTGGAACTGAGCAACAGTGACCCTTTAGGGTCTGTGTTAACTAGTTAACCCTAGACCCTACCACTCCCTACTGCCCTACAACCTGCTTCCCTAATTTACTACTAACTGGTCCCTGACGTAAATGCATCATTTACTAACCCAGATGTTTATAATATATTGCTGACTGCAAAAAGGTAGAAATCAGGATGTATAGCATACTCTCATTTTTGTAAAAGTTGTAAGAGACAGGGAAAAAATGTCTGGTTATACACTAAAACACTAACAGTGAAGTTATGGATGATCCTTTATTTTTATTTCTTGTTCCTTATATATTAGCTTTTTTTAAACTAGTGAATATACATTACTTATCTGTAACTTTGAGATATAATTCATACATCATACAATTCATTCATTTAAAGTGCACAATTCAATGGTTTTTAATATATTTGCAGATATGTACAACCATCACTACAATTTTAGAACATATTCATCACCTCAAAAAGAAATCCCATATCCTTTAGTTATCATTCCTCTACCCTCTCATACACTTCCAAGTCCTAAGCAACCACTAATCTACTTCCTGTCTCTACGTATTTGCCTATTCTGGACATTTCACATAAATGGAATTATATAATATATGATCTTTTGTGTCTGGCTTCTTTCACTTAGCAAAATGTTTTCAAGGCTCATCTATGTTATAGTATGCATCAGTACTTCATTTCTTTTTATTGCTAAATAATATTCCACTGTATGCATACACATTTTATTTATCCATTATCAGTTGATAGACATCTGAGTTGTTTCCCCTTTTGGCTATTATAAATAATGCTGCTATAAATATCATCTACAAGTTTTTGTGTGGACATGTTTTCATGTCTCTTGGGTAGATAACTAGGAGTAGGACTGCTGGATTCTATAGTACCCTATGTTTAACCATGTAAAGAACTGCCAGACTGTTTTCCAAAGTAGCTGTAACACTTTACATTCTCACCACCCCTGTATGAGGGCTCTGATTTCTCCACATCCTCACAACACTTATCATTATCTGTCTTTTTGATTATGGAGTAAGTCATTTATAAATGTTCATCCGATCATAATACACCCAGATTTTTATGGACTTCAATGTGTTCTTATTCACTGACATCAAATTTTACACTTGACAAGAGTCCAGTCCTAGACCTGCTCCCCTGGTCTACCTACCATCTGTAAATGAAGGGACAGGAATAAATGAGCTAAACCCACAAATAAAACTTTTACATAAGAGATCAGCAGCAGATTTTCTAAGCACTCAACAAAACAAAGTTCCTAACAGGGATCCAGCACTCAAGTGAACATGTGTTGCCATCAAAACTCATTTGTAATGCCTCCTACATAAATGCAACTTCAAACCACAGCAGCAAACAGAAGTCTTGATCTAACATCTTTTTACTTGTAAAAGAACCAAGATGTCTTAGGTTTTCCCACCCAGAATCTATTGCTCAAATCCTGCTATAGTAGGGGAAGGGAAACGAATCTGATTTAAAATCAGGACAAAACACAGATCCACTGGGACAAATACACAAAATGCCTGACTGCTCCCTTGCTCCAAGCCAGAGACAGCGTGCACTGTGCAACCTATCCCCAGCTCTGCCCATCACTGCTACTTATAGTCTCTGGGCAGCACTGGGAGGAGGGCAAGCAGCAAATACTACTGCCATGTTTACAGCAGCCCATGATGGCAGTGAGACCAAGACCCAAACAAGAAGAGGGTCCAAGAATCTCAACACCTGGCGCTATGCTCACCCAACACGTTTTCCAAGAGTCAAAACTGGCATCTTAGGGGCTGGCCCAGTGGCGCAGTGGTTAAGTTTGCATGTTCCGCTTCAGCAGCCCAGGGTTCGCCGGTTCAGATCCCGGGTGCAGACATGGCACTGCTTGGCAAGCCATGCTGTGGCAGGCGTCCCACATATAAAGTAGAGGAAGATGGGCATGGATCTTAGCTCAGGGCCAGTCTTCCTCAGCAAAAAAAAAAGAGGAAGATTGGCAGCAGACATTAGTTCAGGGCTAATCATCCTCAAAAAAAAAAAAAAACTGGCATCTTAGCCAGGAAGGGGGTGGGCCACACAGCCTCTTCTGAAATGTAGAATTACTTTCTGTTTTCAGGCCTCAGTTCTGCACTCAGAACAAGTTCTCCAGCACTGAAGACAGGCCTCCATAAGGTGCTAGAGTCAACACATGCAAGTACTTCAGGCAGGGTAGGAGGTGGAATCCATGGCCACCAAATCCCCTTTCTACTTGTCCCTTCCCTCCATTTCCCTGTTTAATTACAGAGAGTGTTTCTAACTCACGCATTTTTGTAAACATTTATTCCTCACCTACTACACACAGGTACAAGAAGACACAAAAATATAGTCTCTGTAGGAAAGAGGTTAGGTCTTATGAAAGGAAACAAAAAATTATTCTTAAGTGAGCAAATACTATTTTGTTTTTTATTTAAGGGCAATAATGCTACTACAGTTCAGAGGGAGTGAAGCATCCCCAGGTGCTGGAATGTTTGGGGAGTGTTTCATAAAGAAGGTAGGAAAGACGAGAGCTGGACTCTGGAGAAAAGAGAAGTGGAGCTGAAGGAAAAGGGTATCTCAAAGAGGAGCAAATGCCAGTGGATTCAACTGGCAAGAGGATCTGAGTAGGGATATATCGTGTATGGAATATTTAGCAAACCATTTGGTTAGCCCTGGAAAGGTGGGCTGGGGCCAGCTGGGCAGCAGTACCTTCAATGCCACATTAGGACTCAGATCTCATCCCATAAGCCTGCAGTAGTTTCTAACTTCACTGTAGGATCTCCAGAGTCTGTGAAGTGTGTCTGTTGCTCACAACAGTTAAAAGTGCTGACATTTAGGGGCCGGCCCGGTGGCGCAGTGGTTAAGTGCACACATTCTGCTTCAGCGGCCCGGGGTTTGACGGTTCGGATCCCGGGTGTGGACATGGCACGGCTTGGCACGCCACTATGTGGTAGGCGTCCCACATATAAAGTAGAGGAAGATGGGCACAGATGTGAGCTCAGGGCCAGTCTTCCTCAGCAAAAAGAGGAGGATTGGCAGCAGTTAGCTCAGGACTAATCTTTCTCAAAAAAAATAAAAAAATGAAAAGTGTTGACATTTACAGGTGAACTACATAAAGACAAAGAAGTTTAAGTGGATAAAGTGGATGGTCTGCCATTGTAACATCTTACTCATTTGCGGTTAAAAATGCCCAGCACAGAAGTACTGCTATTAGCTACTGCTGGATAATACCATGCTGAATTAAGCATCATCTACTCCTCATAAATATTCATGAGGTAGTAAAAGCATTAAACAAAGGCAATAAAAGTTCTCGGGTATTCTATCATCTCCTTTGGGCAGCGGTTCTAACATAGGATTAGACTGTGGATGTACTTTAATGAGCCCTTGAACCACCTAAAAGTGTACGCAAAAGTTAGTGTTGTGAACTTGACTAAGGAGACAATCTGTCTCTTTCCACATCTCACAGAGGTCTGATATCCTAAACAGGCTAGGAGCCTAACTTAGGGTTATTTTAACAGAAACCAGCAAGAATTTAACCCTGTAGCTGCCTTACCTTTCTAAAGGAAGCATTAATCAAACAGGGGTTGGAGGGTTAGCTTGGGGCAATTTTGAGAAGCTCCTAATATTTAAGTATATCCCTCCTTTCTCGTCAAGAACTGCCCAAGGAACTGGTCTCACCAAGGTCAAAACTCTTTGAAGATTCAAAAACTGGCCTGAGAGAGGGCAATGAAATAAATAACTCAAGACTACCCAACTGCTGCCTCTTCTCACACCTAAGGCAAACAGCGACATGCCCCCAGCTTCCTCTGGTTTCAGCATCTGTTCTCCAAAACGATCTCCTAATCAAGGAGGTGGTTTCCCTCAAAACCAAATATTCTGAGGTGACAAGGTCCGACACAAGTGCACAAAGTATTGTCACTTGACTTTTTAGTCGTCTCATGAAGGCTTTTTGCGTGACCTCATACAAGGAGTCTGTGACGAGAAGCCAAAGGACCAAAGGGAAAGAGAAATGTGTTTTGGAGCATTCAGAACTCTTCCTAGGACCTGCACACCTTGCCCAGGGTCTCTAACCCTCCCACCCTTGCAGGAAAGGAGCCTTACTGGTCTGTTTTAATTGGACAAGATACATTTAGTCTGTTAAAAGCTAATTTGGCAGTTTCATACCATCCACAACGACAAAAAGAAGTTTCATTTCTTTTTCTGATTCTAACAAACTCCTGGATTTCCTTTGTCTCCTGATTAAACTGGCAGAATCTCTCTTTAGAAGCTAAAAGCAACCAAGTCATCACCATAATATTCACTTTCTCCTACAGCAAAAAGAGGAAGACCTTACCACAACTCCAAAAAGTGGTGGTAGAGAACCAAAGAAATTCTGTTCCAAAATAAAATTCGAGCATCATGGACATTTAACCAAGACCTTCAGGAAGAAGCAAACGGTGGGCTCCGAGGAGCACAGAACGCAGGCGCCGGGCAGAGGGCTTTCTCCCTGCTAGAATCAGAGGGCAGTGACACTGGCCGGCCTGGTTCGCGGGGGCTCCTGCCTGTTTCGTCTAGTCTTAGTCTCAAGCGGTCTGAAAATCACTCGCAGGGGCGACATCTAAGAAAAAGGTACGTTTATTTCTTACCCGGGAGGAACACAACGACCCGGAGAGCATCTGGCTGGCATTGAACACGTGTCAGCGCTGCGGGTCAGCGTAGCCCAGGGCTTCGGTCCTGTATCCCCCTACCCGGCAGGCCGGCCCTCTGGCGCGGGGCTCTCAGACCTCCACCCCAAGGCAGTCTCCTGGCCTCGGGGACAGCATCCCGGAGGCTCCACCGGCGGCCGATGAGGACTCGCGAGCGACGCTCTGACGACACCCTGGCCCTGCGCGCGCCCGCTCCAACCCCGCGCCCGCCGTCGGCCGCCCCGCCGCCGTGAGGCCGGTCTTTCGGCCCGACTCCTGTCACTCACCGGCCCGGGCAGCGGGCGCCCACGGCTCCCCAGGGGAGCTGGGCCCCGCGGGCCTCCTGGTTTCGGCCCGCCCCCTGGCAGGCAGCGCTGGTGGCTGAGCCCCGCAACAGCGGCCCCGCACCGGCCGCTCGGTCCAGCTCCCGGCGCTGCCCACTGGGTACGGATCAACAACAAGATGGCGGCCAGCCGAGGGGGCGGAGGCCAGGCGTCATAGTAACCAGGACGGCAAAGGACCCGCCCCCAGCTGAGGATATCTCCAATTAACAGCCTCTTCGCCCACCGCCCCCGGGAGTGCTTCCTGCTGACAGGTCGGCCTGCCTGTCAGTCAGAGCCGGCCTCTCACAGCCAATGCCGAACGCCTCAGCACGTGACTGTGACGGCACGGGTTGGCGCATGCGCATCGTTCCCGGAGCTGCTAGAGGCAAAGCTTTTGCTGCTGAGTCCGAGACCGTAGCGCCCTTGTTCTGTCTGCAAGCCCTGCGCGCCTGCGGAGCCGACAGCGTCTTCTCACACAGGCGCTCACACTTAGGGCATGTCTTCTGTGTACTATTTGCTTTTTTTGTCACCCACCCTGAAGGGAAGGGATTGTTGTCCCCTGTTCACTGATGAGGAAACTGAGGCCGAGCCAAGGTCACGCCACCTCTGGGAGTGGAGGCACTGGATCTTGTACCTTCTCCTGCTGCCTCCGCAGTATAATTCCCTCTTCCTAGCGTCTTCACCATCTTTGCCGGTCATCACTCCAAGGTGCAGCCATTTTGCTGCCCCGAGCAGTCCCTGGAGGCTTGCCCACGTTTGTCCTTCTGCCCGGAGTTTAGTCCCCAGAACAAGCTCTGGCACACAGCGGGTATTCTGTCTTCCTGCCCTAGAGCATCTTGTCTTGAGTCCCTGTGACAACATCTTTTACCCTGGGCTGTCATGATCTGCCTACAAGGCCGACTATGAGTCCTGAAAACACGGTTAATTATCTTGGTCCCCAGTACAAAGCACCTTAACCCTGGGGTTGGCTTCAGAGTTAGGAGCCTAGATAGTCACACAGCCTGGACCCACATCAAGTGCCCAGACTAGCTAGCTCTGTGACTTTTGAGCCTTGGTTGGCCCATATGTAAAATGAGGAACAACAGTCGAGCCCTTAGAGCAGGGTAAGTACTCAGGAAAAGTCCACCTGCAACCATTTCCAGCAACACGTTGCTGTCCCTTAGGCCAGGTCTGACACCCACACTTTATTGGAAGCACTGTGAGCTGTCCCTGAGGCCAGCTCTGACACCCTCACTTTATTGGAAGCACTGTGAAACATGTCTTTCCCACAGAAGGCACTCAGCTTCTTCCACTACCTGGGACACTATAGCTCAGGAAGAGAGGTCCTCCAGTGCCCCAAGAGGGTTCAGGCCCACAGACTTGGTAGAGGGGAGAAGATTGAGAGAACTTGGGGATACCACAGTAAAGGTAGCCACCACACAGACAGGTCCTCTTGGAGAGCTGGGAGTAACCTGAGACCTGGTGCCAGGCTGGGCATGGGTAGTGGGCTAGCACTGCACCCAACAGAACCTGCCCTGCTACAGGTTACTGTAGGCTACCTGGTCATGTGCAACAGCTCAGCTCAGCACAAGGAGCACCGAGGGCCGAGGAACTAGAAGAAACAAATCAGGAAAAAATGGGAACAGCCCCTCAGAAGGGGGCTATCATCAAGCCCTCCATGGCCATCCATGCCACAGAGTCCTCAAGTCTGCATCAACCCTCACCTCAGTGCAAAAGCTCCAGATCCTTCCCAAGAAAACCACATACAATCAGGAAAATGCCCTGGAGGTTGGTGGGGCCCTCGAACAGCAACAATGTCCTCCTCTCAGTGGGAAAAGGAAGCTCCTGGGCCATCCACATTTGCCAGAGCAGGTGGCCTCTGAGGGAAGAGGCTGACTGGAGGCCCCTTCAGTCACTGACAAGGATAACAGCCTCTTACTTCTGCAGAGCATTAATCACTGTCAGAGCATTGTACAATGCCTTCTTCAAAGAAAAATAACCTGCTTCTCACTGAACGCCACCAACACGGTGTTCAGGCACTTTCATGGAGGTTGGCTGGGTGACCTACGTCTCCTTTGGGCCTCATGCAGGGAAGCTGGTTGCGACTGTAGATGTTATTGATCAGAACAGGACTTTGGTCGATGGTCCTTGCACTCAGGTGAGGAGACAAGCTATGTCTTTTAAATACATGCAGCTCACTGACTTCATCCTATAGTTTCCACACAGTGCCCGCCAGAAGTACATCCAACAAGCCTGGCAGAAGGCAGATATCAATACAAACTGGGCAACCACAAGATGGGCCAAGAAGATTGAAGCCAGAAAAAGGAAAGCCAAGATGACAGATTTTGATGGTTTTAAAGTCATGAAGGCAAAGAAAATGAAGAACAGAATAATCAAGTTTGAAGTCAGGAAGCCTCAAAAGGAAGGTCTCCTGAAAGCTTCTCCCAAGAAATAATCTGCTGCTAAGGGTGCAGCTGCAACAACTGCTGCAGAGGTTCCAGCAAAAAAGATGACTGCTGTGGGCCAGAAGGCTCCAGCCCGGAAGGTTCCTGCCAAGAAAGCTGCAGGCCAGAAGACAGCACCTCTGAAAGCTCAGAATGGTCAGACAGCTCCAGCCCAGAGAGCACCTGCTCCAAAGGCGTCTGGCAAGAAAACATAAGAGATAAGAGGCTATTATAAAAATAATAAAGGTTCTTTTTGACATGCTGGCAAAAAAAGAAAATGAACCTCACTACTCCCTAGAGAGTGCCCACAAAGTAGAGCATTGTCCAAGAGAGAGCAAGGAAGCACAGATCTCAGAGCTTCTCCCACATGTAGGTTACAAGGCTGAGACTTTGCTGTTTGTAATTTTGTTTATTATTGAATCAACTTGAAAACAGAGCCCATGATCACGTGAAGATGAAATTCCACACATAGTGAAGCAGCTTCTCAGCCTCAGAGCCAGTGCCGGGCTCCCGTGCGCGTGTTGAACAGGTAATCTCTGCCTGTACCTGAGCTCAGATGGTCAGGAGAGAGGGAGAGAAGGTGTTGCTGGCCTCAGCAAAACTGCCTCCCTCCCCTAAAGGTAGGGGAAGACATTCCAAAACGCTTGGTGTGACCCCTCTTCTGCTTGATCCAATCTGTCCCTTCTCCCCTTTCCCAGCAAATCCTTTGAGGTCTGGCTCCAATGCACAGGAAGCATCCTTAATTCCCCAAAACTGGACACTAGATCCCCTAAACCCGGTGCCAGATTACTCTGCCATAATTCACTGGTGACAGTGCAGTATCTGGGGGCTTCCCCCTTCACCCGATTCCCCCTTGGGCAGGAACCAAACCAGGTCTGACTCATCTCCTGGTCCCACAGGTGTTTGACAGATACTGGCTGAAGGTGAGTGGGGGTGAGAACAGACCCCATTCAGGGAAAGAGTAGATAGTGGATGTCTGGTGGCAGGAGGAGATACTGAGATGGGGTAAGGAGAGAAAGTGGGCCCAGGTGGAGAATAGTTTGGGAAGAGGGGGACTCACGGGAGTCCTGTGCTCTGCCATCAAAGTGCTGCTGAGAGGAAAAATGAGAGGGTGCAATGAGTTGAATCCTGCCCATAGGGAGCAGTAGAGGCCTGCTGCCAAAGAAGTCAAGAGCCCACCTGCCGCCTCCATCCTGATGGTGCTGGAGAGGGCACTCCATGGGGAAGGGGGCAGGCTTGGCAGGGGAGCACTCTGGAGCAGGCTGCGTGCCCACTACACAGATGCTGGGTTTACATACCAGGCTCATGATGCTGCTGGGTGCCTGTGGCATCTCCATCCTCGGCGCCTCCATGAACCCCTCAATGGACCTCTCAGCTCCTTGGATACTGGAGCAAAGTAGGAGCAGGAGTACAGGCTAAGGCTCTGGGCCCCAGCCTGTGTTTAAGAAATGGACTCCCTGGCATAGAGATGTGCAAACGAGGCTGACCTGTTTAGCAGCAGAGCCTGGGCTGGTATGCTTGGTGCCTGTAGCACCCGGGCCAACCTAAAATGCCAGGAGGGGGCACCAAGTAGTGAGGGCAGCTGACTCGCTGGCTCCAGGGACCAGCACCATTCACCTGCCTCTTTATATTGGGGAGAGTCAATGTCTGTATGCAAATGCCCACATTGTTACCCCCACTTTCCCCTGGGTTCAGTCTTGTGCCCACAAGAAACCCACAGTCTTAGGAGCAGGTCAGGGTTTTTTTTCATTTGGTTTTTCCTCCCCAAAGCCCTGGTACATAGTTGTATATCCTAGTTGTAGGTCATTCTAGTTCCTCTATGTGGGATGCCACCATACCATGGCCTGATGAGTGGTGCATACGTCCGTGCCCAGGATTCAAACTGGCGAACCCCGGGGCACTGAAGCCAAGCACGCAAACTTAACCACTCAGCCAAGGGCCAGCCCCAGGAGCAGGTCAGGTTTCAAGTAGAGGGCAGGGGTCAGGAATTGAGGTAAATGCCCAATGCATGAGAGACTCAGAGTCTCAAGCCCTGGACCTCATCCACACCCATCCCATTCCAAGACTGGGCTCTGCCAAGGATGGAGATGTCTTCCTCCCAGTGCCTCTCTGCCTCTAACCTGACAACCTCTGGAGGGAGGGCAGCACTTAGTATCAGTTGGGCTGCTCATCAACTTTGGCATTGGCATCAAATCTTAGGTGAAACCACCTATCATAGATGGGGTCCATTGGTGGGCTGGGGGGAGGCAGGGAGCACAGGGATAGGAGCCCTACCCCTGAAGGAGCCTGTTGAGGAGCCAGCCCAGAGCCAAGAGGAGAAGGGCACCGGTCATTGTCAGCATCACCACAAACCAGGGCTCCGGCTGCCAGAAAGCCTCCGTGTCTGTCACAAGCAGGGGTGTCATCATTGAAGGCATCTGAAATGGGGGCCACAGTCTCAGCACTGCCCTGTGAAACGCCCTGATCATCCAGCCTTCAAACTCCTTTAAGGGCTGGGCCACCTGTATTGCCAGGCTCTTTGCATTCAACAGTTCCCTCTGGAATGCCTTCCCCCATCATTCCACCTGGTAAACTGGGTCTCCTCACCCTCTAAGATCCTCTCTCCCCACCCCCGAGGACCCCCCTCACTGTGGCTCTGTGGGTGCTGGTGGCCACTGTGCTGGCCCTCCACGGAACTAGATGCACAATGACGGTGGCTGTGGTGCTGAGATGGGGGATGGAGGGACCTGCATCGGCCACACGAATCAATAGCTCATAAGTATGAGGCTGCTCTGGCCAAGGGGGTGCCAACATGAGGTCATTGTGCACCAGGATGGCTCCTTGCAGACTGAATCGGCTCTGACTATTCCCTGAAAGCAGAGTGGCAGAAGAAGGAGACAACTGCTGGCCTTGTCCTGCTCCTCCCCCATAGCCTGGTGGCTCCCATGGCCCTTACCTCCCACGATACTGTAGGAGAAGGCCAGGCGCTGAGGCTCCTGGGGGACCCGACATAACACCTTGGTCACCTCCACGCTCTGGCCCAGGGATGTGTGGATGGTGAGTTCCTGAAAGGGGGGCTCACACTCTGGGGCATGGTCATTCACATCCTGCAGGAAGGTAGCCAGGTCACCCACTTCCCAAACCCTCAGGCCAGTCCCTCAGCCTTCTCCCACCACAGCCAGAGCCTAGCTATCAGGTAACAGGCTCCAAAGCTTCCCACAATGAGGTCCCAACCCCTCAAGCCAACCAATGGAGGAAACAGGCACAGAGTGGAAAAGCAGAATGCCAGAGGGAGATGTGAACTCTTCCCAATTCTTTCCAAAGCCTCAGGGTTCAATTACCTCAACCTCGATGGTAATGGTGCAGGAGCCTGAGTGGTGGCAAGTGGCGTCCTGGTCTTGGCTGTGGTCAGTCAGCAGGACAGTGAGCCTGTATAACCTTTGCAGCTCATAGTCCAAAGACCCCAGGAGGCGAACCTCTCCTAGAAGGGGTGGCCAGAGCCTCAGCCTACAGAGTCAACTCTGGCTCCACCCTTCCATCCCAACCCTGGGGTAGGAGTACCGCTGAGATGGTCCACAGCAAAGGTGGCGGATCCGCCAGAGGTGTGGTACTCAATGCTGTCGTGCGGGTAGTCCATGTCGCTGCCCACCACAGAGCCCAGAAGAGTGTGGGGCCCTGCATCCTCCCGAACTCGAAATGTGCGTGAGACACAGGCTGGGGAGAACTCGTTGACAGGTGTCACCATCACCAGTACTGGCACCTCAGCTGGAGGCCATTTAGCAATCAGGGAGCTAGCCTGGGGAGCCTAGCCCTGCCCTGGGGGTCTGAGGAGGGAAACATGGCCCTGCCCTGGCGGTGTAAGGAGGGAGAGGGTCTGGAGGGAGGGAAGGCAATAACCCTCTCCTGCTGGGGGGGAGGGTCTAGGAGAGGAGAGAGATGTCCCACCCTAGGGGTCTGAAGTGGAGACAACACTACTTTACTGGTTTTTCAGGGAGGAGCGATGATTCTGCCCTGAGGATGAGGAGAGGGGTAGAGAACAGCTCTTTCCTGAATGTCCAGTCCTGGGTATGGTCACTCACTGGTCATCAGGGGCTGACCATCATCAAGCACCAGGATGGAGGCTGCATGCTGAAAGCAGGCCCCAGGAGTGTCACAGTCCAGTGTGGCATTCACCTGGCCAGAGAGGCCAGAGAGTGAGGCCCAGCCAAGGCCTGGGAGAGCCTTGAGGCAAACCGGGCTGCCTCAGGCCAGGGTAACCACAGGAAGCCTACCCTGACCTCTGTTTTCCAGACTGCAAAGCAGGTGGGCTCCACCACCATCTCCTTTGCGCTCATGGGCTTGGCTCCCACAGACCCTTGGTCCACCCCCCTTTCCTGTCCCAAGCACCCTGCACGTGGGTCTGGGAGCAGGCGCTAGGTACCTCCAGGACCCTTTCTCGAAGGCAGAGACTGGCTGGGCCAGGAGGGCTGTGGAACCGCAGCTGGTAGTCCAAGGTGGAACCAGGAGAATCTGGGTCAGTGCAAGTGAAGGTGTTCAGCATGGTGCCCACAGGCATGGTCTCCGGGATTTGTGTCCTGGGAGCAGAGGGCAGGCGGCAAGGCAAAAGTTGGGCAAGGCCATGAGCCATGGCTCTCGCCCCCATAAACTAGGTAAGGGTCCCGTGCACTCACACCAGCAGCTCTGGGAGGCAGCGCGGGGGCCAGCGGTTGACTGACCGCACTTTCACCGTGAGATCGAGCTCGACGCTGGCCCACGGACGGAGCCGCTCGAAGGCCTTCACTTGCAGCCGTGTAACCGCGGCTCCTTTCGTCGCTGGCGTCAACTCCAGAGGAGCAGCGGTCCGCACCACACCGTCGGCTGGCCGGGGTGGGAGGGTGTGGGACGCAGAGTTCGGCCCCGCCCTCAGCTCATTCCTGTTTCCACCCTCCCACCGGATCTCAGGACGGCGACCGGCAAAGGGGGCTGAGCCTGGACACCCCAGCCGCCTCCTCCAAGGATCCCCTCTAACTCCTGCCCAGCCTCCAAACATAACCACGCTCCATTTTCTGCCTGGGCTCCAGCCTGGTTTCTCAGGAAGGTGAGGAGGTACCGCAAGTCACCTCTAGACCGCCGCAGAGGCATCCCCATACCCGTCATCCCTGCCCCTCACCGCGACCGATGGAGAAGAGCGGGCAGGGCACCGGGGAGACGATTTCATAGCGCACATCGAAGCCCCGGGCCTGGACCTGAGCCACCTTACTCCCGGGGACCAGGTTCTCCAAGATGGTGATATTCTGGGCTTGCTCCCTGGACCAAAAGGGAGACACTGGCTCCTGCCCACTCTGGCCACGGCTGGCTGGATGCACAGGCCCCTCCCCTGGGGCTTCCCTCATAGCAGGAGCTAGCTGAGGACGCTCCAGCGGCACCTCATCTTCACCCTCCTCCTAATTCCCTGGGGCTAGGCCCTGCCTCCTTCCCTGTTCCCAGGGTAGGGAAGTCTTACAGGAAGGAGACCTGGCTGGAGGGAGCAGGCAAAACTTTAACCATCAGCATCCCATGGCAGCTTCGGTTTTGTCCAAAGGTCACTGAGACCTGAAGCTGGAAGCTCTGTGATGTACATAGAACAGGAAGGGAACCAGGGTGTGTGTCTACCTGTATGTCCGTGCCCAGTCTTCCCTTCATATAGGCAGCCCTCTCAGGTCCTTCCCAAGGAGCCCAACACTCTCTCCTCCCCATGATCTGTCACTCTTCTAACAGGTAGTCCTTTGAATCCCATTCTTTGGGCCATAAATTCTTCTATTAGGATGCAAACACCCCCAAAAAAGAGTGATATTTGAGTCATTCATGATGTGACTTATCATCTTAGAATTGCTAGGAGCCAGTCACTAAGGCACGGGAGTTTTAAAGAAGGAACTTCCCTAACCTCCTCCAGACTGCACTAGTCATTTTACCCAGAACTTTCTTTTCCTGTGTGACTGCTCTGAATTCTCTCCTTTCTATTAGAGGCACTATGAGCTCCCAGAGCCAAAGATCCCTTTTCTTTCTGGAACTCCAGACTCCAGCACAGAACTAGACCAACACAGGAGGACAGCCAGCATGGGGCAGCAGATGCAGGTGTGGGCTATGTTTGGGAGAGGCAGCAAAATCAAAGAGGCCAAGGAGGCCAAGAACAAACAAACCTCCAGGAGGTGGTGGCTCTGCCCATTGTATGCCCAATCCATGGATATCTCCTGGTCCCAAGTCATGCTCACCTTTTGAGCCTGGCCTTTGAGGCCCTGGGATGGCGCCTGCAGCCAACCCTGCCTATTGATAGAGAAAGGTCCAGGGAAGTGTGGAGGGTCCTGGGCACTGGTGATGCTCATCTGACAAAACAGAGATGCTTTGAGGTCCATCCTCAGCCCCTAGTGCCCCAACCATCCCTTTCAAAATCTCCCAACAGTACAGCAGGTACCTTCCCACACCTAACTCTCCTATACCCCACCACTGACACTTACCACAGCCTGGGCTTCTTAAGCTCCACCCCAACCCCTGGCCCTGATCCTCAATCCTTTCTGCTTTGCAACCAATTATTTTGTTTTTCAACTACATTTCTTTTTTGGATTACAAAAGTGATGCAGAATTTTCATGGATAATTCAGAACACATAGGAGAACTTGAAAGAAGAACTCAGCCCCTGAGGAATATCCATGGTCACTGGGGGGGCGGGCAACCCTCAGTGGCTTTCTCCAAGAACATGCATCAGAGGCTCAGCTGTACACTAAAGGATCCCTCTGCAGGAGGTACTTGACCTGGCAGAAGCTGGGCTTGGTCTCCCCATGCCCCACCCACCATCCTGCCCCCCATTGCCCCTATGCTGGACTCACCTGGGCACCCTGGAGTTCCAGGCCTGGGAGCAGCAGAGTGTACAGGCGGGCCCCAGGTGAGACTGTTTCCAGCACCTGAATGATTTCCCCACCTGGCCAGAGGGGAGGTCAGGGAGGCTCTGTTCAGGCCATGCCTGCCCACCCCCTGCCTGCTGCCCCTGGCCTCACCTGGGCTGGCAAATCGGCCAGCACACCGGATATGGCCAGGGTCCTGCTGCACATCCACAGAGAGTGGTCCCTCCATCACATGGTTGCCACATATGAACCGCAGCTGCAGCTCATAGTGGTTCACCACCAGGGCATCCAGCTGGGCCGAGCTGCTCAAGGTCACCTGTGGCAGGTGGGCAGTGCCATGTGGGGCCTAGGCTCTCCAGCCCCCTACACCACTTCTGGCTTTGTGAATTTAGCTTCTGCCCTTGTTTCCCCACAGTCCTCAGCTGTGCCCATGACCCTACCTCACCCACATAGATCCCTTGCCACCTAGTCAGGCTGGGTGGGTTGAAGAAGGTGGTGGGTGGCTGCACATGGAGCAACTCTAGGGTAGGTATATGAGAAGAGCAGTTGAAGGAGAAAAACTGAAGGATGGTGCCAGGTCCCTGGCTCTCGGAGACTTTTATGAACCAGGGCAGGCAGTGGACGTCTGTAAGGAAGAGATGATTCAGGCTGGAGGCCCCCCACCCCATGCTTGTAGAACCACACACATGAGCATAGTCCTGCCCTTCTGGCCATCCTGGGGCCAAGCAGACAAAGCTCTTCCTTGTCCCCAACATCCTACCATAGGTCAGCTCATTTCCCACATTGGGAGTGAGGACCTGGTGGAGGAAGCAGCCAAGATAAGGAATGAGGGTCAGAGGCTCAGATCTTTGCCCTTTCCTGGCTCTCTCCCAGTCCCTGCCCTCCATGAGAGCTTATCTGAGAAAGGTCAGGTCTCCACTCCACTGTGGAGTGGGCAAGTGAGAACTGGAGTTCCCCCACCCACCGGCTCCTCACCAGAGACAACCAGAGCAAGAAGCAGCACCAGGGCCCTGAGCAGCACCATAGTGGTCTGAAGATACAAACAGCAGAGGAGACTCTAGAAGGCCAGACGTGTTTGTCAGGCCCACCTCGTTGCCAGGTCAGTTGCTCAAACATAGCTGGTCAGGCGGGACTCCTGGGCCTCCCAGATTTTAGCCCCTCCCATCCCTGGTGACATCTCTAGGCTTCAGACAGGTGTCAAGAGGCCTGGAAAAAACAATTTTTTTCACTGCTCCCAGTGAATTCCCCCATTCATTACTATAACCTGAAGGAGATGTGAGGGGAGAAGAATCAAGCTTCAGATGAGGAAACTGAGGCTCAGGGAAGTCTTAGTCATGTAGTCCTTGGAGACAGAGTAAGCACAGCATCAGGAAAATTGGGCCCAGGACCTACCCCACAAAGTCCAAACTCCAGCTGCCCACCACCCATTAGAACATTATCTACCTACAAAATCTGAGTGCAACTATCAACAAAATCTCTCAAAAATTGTCTACATTCAACAAGGGATCCTTGGTGACAGAAATCAAAATAGTGGTTATCTTTGGGGATATCGACTGGAAGAGACACAAAGTGGCCTCCACTGGTGGCTGGAGATATTCTATACAGTATCTTGATCTGAGTGACAGTTGCACAAGTGTCTACAGATTTTAACACTTATTGAGCTATACCTTTGAGAGTTGACAATCATTGTATTTGTTAGATGTCAATTTTTAAAAACTTGTCTACACTTGCTCTCTCTAGTTCTTCACCTCTCACTCTCTCTTCTACCCAGTGCAGCCGTGAAAATGACCCTCCTCTGAAACTGCCCTCTCTCCATGAACCTGCCCTTGTTGGAGTCCTCAGACACCTGCATACTGCCCAGTTTAGCAGTGCATTCTCCACTCTCATCTCCTTAGCAGCATTTGATGCTTCTTCCCCTTGGCTCCTAAGTGCCCACACTCTCAGCTTCCTCCCACCTACCTGGCTAATCCTGCTCAGCTCCTTTGCTGGTTCTGCTACATCTTCCCTACCTCCATCCAGTGGAATGTTCCAGGGCTCAGTCCTGACTGCCACCCTCCTCTATGTAAACTCACCTCCTCCATCACATCCAGGCCCCTGGCCTTAAATACCATCCACTCACTTTGCCTCCCAGGTCCAAGGCTTCAGTGCTAATCTCACACATCTAGTGGCTGACCCTACATCTCCTCTTGGATGTCTAACAGGCATGTCAAGGGTCACATGTCCACAAATGGTCACTTGATTTTCCTCCCCAAACCCACTTTTTTCCAGTCTTTCCTGGATCAATTCATGGCAATTCCATCCAACCAGTTGTTCAGGCCCAAAATCTAGGAGCCGTGCTGGGTGCTTCCCTTTCCCTACCCATATTTATGCACCAGCAGGGCTTGATTTTAGCTCCAACACATACCCCAAACTGACCCCCTTCTGTGCACCAGCCCCACATAGGCCCAGGCCCTCCCCTCCCTTGCTGGATGAGGGCAGGAGCCTCCACTCTGATTACAGAATGGTTCTCCCAAAGCAGCTGGGATTATCTAAACAGGAGCCAGCCCAGGTAATTCCCTGCTCAAAAGCCCCTGGAGCTCCCCAGCACACCAAGAACAAAACCCCATGTTCTTTTCTAAGGCTGCTACGAGCCTGGTTTTGCTGGCTCTTCACTCTCCCAACTACTTCTTTAAGTTAAGCCCTGTCTAGCTCCTGTACTCTCAAGGCCTTTATTTGCAGGCTTGTGTGTGTGTGTGTGTGCGTGAGGCAGATTGGCCCTGAGCTAACATCTGCTGCTAATCTTCCTCTTTTTTTCTCCTCAAAGCCCCAGTACATAGTTGTACATCCTAGTTGCAAGTCATTCTAGTTCTTCTATGTGGGATGCTGCCACAGCATGGCTTGACAAGTGGTGCACAGGTCCGTGCCCAGGATGCGAACCTACTAACCCCAGGCTGCCAAAGCAGAGCCCGCCAACTTAACCACTACCACTGGCCAGCGCCCCACTCTCAGGGCCTTTATTTATTTATTTATTTATTTTGAGGAAGATTAGCCCTGAGTTAACAGCTGCCGCCAATCGTCCTCATTTTGCTGAGGAAGACTGCCCTGAGCTAACATCTGTGCCCATCTTCCTCTACTTTATATGTGGGACGCCTACCACAGCATGGCTTGCCAAGCGGTACCATGTCCACACCCAGGATCCAAACCAGCCAACCCCGGGCCACCGATGTGGAACGTGTGAACTTAACAGCTGTGCCACGGAGCAAAGGAACCTTTAATTCGTCTGATCTCTCTGCCTAGAATGCCCCTCTTCTTCATCTCCCCATGATGGCTCATCCAGATCCCATAAAGAATGCCACCTCCTCTGAGAGTCCCTTCTCCCAAGCTAGCCTGTCGCCCTCGTTCCCCTGTATTTCTCTGTCTACTGACTTGTTTAGTCTGTGTCCAGTTAGACTTTATCCTTGAACCCAGCCCCTGATCGCGGCGAGGCCTCAGGGAACCGGCTCTGACCGTTCCGGCCAGAGAGCGCCGCTCTAACACCCTGCCTGTGGTGCCGGGCCGAGGGGATGAGGACGTCGCCGCGGGAATCGCGGCTAACCGCGCGCTCCCCACTAGAGGGCGGCCCCGCCCGGCTTGGCCCAGACCCTGGGCGGAGAGGGAGCAGGCTGGGCCTTAGCTGTGGCCCCTCCCCTGTTCTGCAGCGGGGTCCCGCGCTGCCGGAATCCTGAGAAGGGTTGGATCCCTCCCGTCACTTCCAGGGATTGTCGAGGCCGGCTCTAGGAGCGGATTCAGTGGGTCGGGCCCCAAGTGGGCCACTGTACTGCCGAGTCCGAAGGCTAGGGGCGCTCTGCCCGCACTTAGGCGCTTCCGGGGACCCCGCGCGCTCACCGGACCCTTGCGGGAGAGGCCGCATTTCTATCCTGGGAAAAATAGGGAAGCTGAGGCTACCGCGGGGAAGCGATTTGTCCTGGGTCACGCAGCAAACCCAGAGTCAGCTCAACAGCCCGCGCTGTCTAGGAGTCCCGGGCCGACCCCACCCGGCTTACAGCTATAGTCCCGCCCCTCCCCCAGAGCCGGAGCGGAATGAGGAGTGGGCGTTGGGCTCACCCACCAGGCGGGGCCCGAGGGGCGGGGCCACCTTAGCTCCGCCCCGGCCCTATTGGCTGCGGCGCCAGGGGCGGGGTGCGGCTGCCAGATGTTGGGGCGGTGGCGGCTGGAGCTACGGTGAGCGAGGAGCGGCGGAGCAAGGCGGAGGGCGAGGGTGCCGCTGGCCGGCCGGCCGAGCCCTCTCCGCGCAGCTCCCGCTGGAGTTCGAAGAACTGGCAGGCCTGGCGGGGGCTCCGGCTCGGGCATGCACAGCGCTCGGCTTGACAGCTTTCTGGGCCAGCTCCGCTGGGAACTGGTGAGGCTTGGGAGCGGGTGTGGCTTGTGAGGACGTGTGTAGGGTGCTCGGCTGCCGTCCGGTTGGAACGACAAAAGGGTAGGGGGCCGTCCCGAGTCCCCATCCAAGGCAGGATGGGGGCGGGGCAGTGCAAATGGCCCAGATGGCCCGCGTCGGGTTTCGGACGGTTGGGAGCTGCGCTGGGCATCAAATAACAGCCGCCCAGCTGGCTGTGCTGCCCGGGCGGAGGGAGTTGCAGGGGAGAAACTTCTTTTGGCGTGGAGCAGTGGGCTGCGAGGGACTAAAGAAATGCTGGCGCTGCCCGCTACCTCAGGCTGTCTGGTACCTCCTTCCTCTACCCACCACCTGGCAAGTGCTCCATCCTTCTCTAAAAGATGCTATGAGCTTTGGGGAGCTGAATCTCTCAAGAGGCACGGGATGCCCCTCCAGCCCTGAGCAGGCCCTACTTCCCCATGCAGGCCCGCAACCCTGCCTTCCAGGGCGGGTACCGACTTGCCCGGCTCTGCGTGCTGCAGCCTGCCGGACTGCCACCAGGTCGGCTGATGGGAGCCACACGAGTTTCGTGTGCCAGCACCCCCATGCCGCCCCTGTGCCCACTAGAGCTGCCTTGCTTCCCAGGCCTACAGGCCTATCTAGCCCTCCTGGGCCTTCTGTTTTGGGATTGGCCTGGCCAGGCGGCAGGGGTGACAAGGGCTGCCCCTCCCACTTCTGCCCTCTCTTCCTCTGCAGCTATGTGGCCGGGACACAGGCTCACCCCCAATGCCTGGCCCTCTTCCACCACCTCCCAAACCTGGCCCAGGTGTGGGGCTCAGCCACCGGCTCAGGGCCCCAGATGCCTTGGAAGAGGATTCGGTCTGCTGCGTGGAGGAAGAGGAAGAAGAAGCTGTGGTGATAAGAAACAGGGGTGTAGCCTTGGGGGGCCCGAGGGAGCATGCCCTGGACTGGGACTCTGGCTTCTCGGAGGTGTCAGGCAGCACATGGAGAGAGGAAGAGCTGCCAGTACTTCAGCACCGAGCACCTCCAGCATGGCCCTCCCATAGAGAGCGCCTCTCGGCCAGTGGCGTCTCCCTGCCCAGAGGGGCCTCTGTGGCCAGTGCACCCCCTGCCCACCGACCACGGCCCAAGTCCACCCCAGATGCCTGCCTGGAGCATTGGCGAGGGCTGGAAGGTGAGGACTGGACAGCAGCCTTGCTGAGCAGAGGTCGCAGTCGCCAGCCCCTGGTGCTGGGGGACAACTGCTTTGCTGACTTGGTGCACAACTGGATGGAGCTGCCTGAGGCAGTGGGTGAGGGGGATGTTGGTGGTGGGCCCCGTGCCCGTCCTCGGCCCCCCCAGTTTCTGCTTGGCCTCTCTGAGCAGCTGCGGCGTCAGCTGGCCAGGGCACGCCGGGCAGCCATGGCGGGAAAGCGCCTGTCATGCCCACCTCGCTCAGAACCTGAACTGCCTGCAGATGTCTCACGCTTTGCAGCTCTCATGAGCTGCCGCAGTCGCCAGCCGATCATCTGCAATGATGTCATCAGCTACCTCTGACCCTGCCCTCCAGCCTAGGACAATAAAGAACTTTCTCTGGACTGTCCTGGTTCCATAGCCCTGAGGCTCCAGGAGGCAGCCCCAGCCCTGTAAGGCACAGTCCATGCAGGCGAATCAAGAGCCTTTTCCCTCCCTACAGGGGTCCCTCTCATGCCCATGTCACACCCATGTGCCTGCCCTGTGTTCTATCATCCATCCTCTCCACTTACACCTTTTTTCAACAAGCATTTATTGAGCGTTTACTGTGGACTCAGGATGCAGGGCTTGACAGAGCTGGGTGGTGAGGCTGCTGCTTATCACAGCTCGTAGTGCAGGGGTGGAAAGATAGTGTCCTCCTCCTCACCCTCACAGCTGAGCTCCAGTACCAGCACCCGCTGCCCAGGCAGAGGCACTTGGCCTGTCACCCGCTGCACCAGTTCCGTCACCCTGGTGGTGTGGGGGGGAGGGAGGTTGGGGGAGATTTGGTAGGTGAGCAGTGACAGGCAGAGAGTGATATGGCATGGACTAGAGGATGCTGAGGTCTATAAGGAGCCCAAACTAGGAGCAGGAGCAGCTCAAGACAGGAAACATCTGAAACTATTTTAGGAGCTGCTGGCCCGGCAGGCAGGAGGCAGGAAGCTGTGAGTCCCCTGGGAGTGCGCTATGAAAGGGGGGCTGAGCAGGGCATGGAGGAGCTGGTGGGGCTGGCCAAGCCTGCAGCTCCTGGAGGCCTCCCCTCAGGCTCTCAGCTCTTGCCCCACCCCCAGCCCTTTTGCTGGCTCCATTTGGCAAAAGAAAACTTCAGGAAGGTGTGAGGGGCCCAAATGGGGTTGGGAAGAGGAAAGGCTGCGTGTTCTGCACCTCCAACTTCTAGGGACAGAACAAGGCCTGGCTAAAGCCAGGTGTGATCTCACCTGAGAGACAAGTGCTGGGCCTGCTTTTCAGGCGGCCATGCAGCTGAGTAGAGAGGGGCCCGGCCGTACAGCAGCATCCTCACCCTCAGCCCATGTTGTTCCTAGAGAGAGACAGGTCAGGTGCCAGCTAGGCCAGGTTGGGCCAGGCCTGGGGGCAGGGCAGGAATGGGGCACACCTGGAGATGGGCCAGTAATGACTCCAGGTTTCTCTCAGGCTGCCCAGCAGGCACCTTCAGGCGGTCCCAACAGGTCCACTTCAGGTGATGGAACTGGGGGATGGTAGTAGGGAGGAGTGAGAGCTTCTCACACACACACCCTCCCCACTACCCCAGTTACCAGCCACTGAGGGCCCCTTTCCTAGGGGAGGAGCTAGACCAGAGGCTGAAAGCAGAAGCCAGGGGTTGGGAGTGGAAGGTGGGATCTGGGCCCAGAGTCTCAGCACCCTCCCTGCCCATACTGGGGCCAGCACAGGAAATGGGGCTATGGGCCCCCCCCTAACAGGGAAATAGGCGATCCATCACACAGGCTGGGGGGGTAGGGGGCGGTGCTTCCTGAGGAAGCAGGAGGAGGGCCGCTGCAGTCACCGATAAAGCAGCTTGTTCTTCAAATGCAAGGCTTGGAGCTGGGGGGTATATCCTGTTCCCTCATCCTGTACTGCCAGGACCTTGGACTACTCATGGGCACACATGGGCAAGGCGCACAGTGACCACTGGGGCCCCACTGGCTCAGAGACTCCAGCAGGGACACAGTCCACAGAGGCCTCCTCTTCCTGTTCCCTCTTTCCTTCCCTATTTCAACAGTCTTGGGGTTCTGGTACCCAGAGCTGAGGGTAGGAGGGTGGCAGGCAGCCAGGGGCCAGGACAGGAGGGCCCTGCCAGGCCCCCAGAAAACACAGTGGTATCTAGCTGAGACAAGGACAGAGGTGAGATGGAGGGGGGGATCCTTCCCCTCCCCCTCTCCCTCCATCATGGACAAAGGCAGCTTGTGTTCTAGCTGGAGACGGGGCCCCTCACAAAGGGGCTCTGTGTGCTGTGCCCTGAGGGACCCCAGGGCTGCTCAGTAAAAGCCCAGTGCTGGCCCATGACCTCTCCCCTCTCCCCTCTCCCCTCTTCCCTGGAGAGGGCATTTTCTTTACCCCCTCCCCTGTTCCCCAAGGAAATGCCAACTACTGCAGAGCCTGGGCACCCAGCCAGGGGCATTCACAGCCCTGCACTGGGAGGAACACACATGCACACAAGCCCAGGAATGCCTGCATGTGTACTCACATGCATACCCATGCAAGCCCACATTGAAGAAGAGCCCTGCACTCCCATCTGGCACACAGATGTGCAAGCATGCTCCCTCCATGCTCACACACCACAGGGCCAGGGATTCCCAGACCCTGGTGCACTCACACCAGTGATACAAATGCACACATCCCTACAGGGCTGTAGATGCCACACCTGTGGTGGTAAGCTCAGTGCTCTTTAACTCAGCTTGCAGGGATGGGCCAGGATCCCCACACCAGGCAGGCAGAAGTTAGGCTCTGTTTGGGGCTAGAGCCCTAGTGCCCCCTCCCCACCACCTCCCCCTCAGGGGAACTCCTACAAAGGAGGGGGCTGTGGGGGATGTCTGGCTCCACTAATGAGTTAAAGCTGCAGCTCCCCCAGACCCGGGCAGCAAAGGTTGGGGGGTGGGGATGGCTGACGGCTGCTTCCTGTGTCTGACAGGTCCCAGCCTGGCTTCACAGCAGGAAAAGGGCTGGAGGGAGTCTTGAGGACTCCCCCAGAGTCTGGGTCCTGGTGAGAGCCAAAAGCCAGAGTAGGGCCTATTTGGGGAGGTAGAGGGAAAACCCAGGCCTAGAGTGGGTGGGATGTCAAGGGCTCACCGTCTGGATGGCTGGGGCGTGAGGCACCCAGCGGCTGAAACGGTTTTCAGCCAGATGCAAATAGCTGTGGCGAAAGGCACCAAGGGATTGTGCCCCACCCACCACCTTATACAGTTCCAGGACCACCAGGCCTGCCACAGCTGCTGAAGTGGTAGCAATGGCTGGGATAATCCGGCCCACGATTCGCTTGCTCTGCCAAAGACAGGAGATTTGGTCTGGGCCCAAGGTGTAGGGCTAGGGTTTGACCCCCACCTCCAGGCCTGAGCCCCAAGGGGCAGAGTTACCTGCATGCGGTTGGCGGGTAGTATCCCATAGTTCTGAGCTCGCAGGCTTGCTGCTGCTGCCACAAAGTCCATATGAAAGTTGCTGTCATTGTCCTATGAGGCCCAAGTGACAGTAGTGTTAACACTGTCCCAATGCCCCTCACCACGGCCAATCGTGTGGCACTGCACAGGTCTTGACACAGTCCTATGGGCTAGATGTTCACATCTCCCCACTTATCAGATAAGGAAGCTGAGGCTCAGGGAAAGTAAGATGCTTCTGGGGTCCTACTGGGAGGAGAACTCAGGCCAAAAGGCCTCAAAGCTGTCTTTTTAGCTCTTGACCTTCCCCAACAACCCTCCAGCCTGGCCCTTCATCCCTACTTGGGCTCCCACCTTCTCAAACCTCAGGGGCTTCAGGTGAGGGCCCACGCTCCAGAATTCCAGGGCTTCATGCAGTTTCAACTGCTCAGGGCCTGTCAGGGGAAGGGGGTGTTGGGGCAGGCCTTAGGCCCCAGCTCCTGCACTCTTCTCCTGGAGCCTGGTGCCTATCCTTGGTCTCTGCCAAGCCTATACTTACCATGTTCAGAGAGACCTCTTGATTGATGCTGCAATCTTCTCCCCAGCAGCCCCGGCCCTCACCCCTGTGTGTGTGTGTGTGTGTGTGTGTGTCTACATGCACACACATGCACGCCTATGTGACTGTCCTCACCTAGGGGCCACAGCTAGGTGCTTCCCAGGGCCCAACAGTTTGTGGTGGTGTTTTTTTTGCTGAGATCTGCCAAGGGAACAGGGGTTGGGTAGGGGTGTCGGGGAGGGATAGGCAGCAGGGAGAGGGCCTACTGAGGGGCTAGAGGATGAGCCCAAGCCTAGAGAGAAGCAAGGTCAGAGGGCCTAAGAGGTAATGAATTGGCTGTAGGGTCCCCAGGCCCCATCTTCCTTCTGCCGCACAGGTTGAGGTCAGGATGAGGCCTTTGGGTGGCAGCATGGGGGACCAGGGCCAGGGACCTCACCAAACTCAGCAGAAGCCAGAGCCGGATCCAAGTCATTAGCAAAGATGGGGGCCAGGTCCTGAGGGCCAGGCAGCGGCAGCAACTTTAGCAGTTCCCTGAGCCCAGTCTTGTCTTGTGAGCCAGGCAGCCCATGCATCTGGGCATACAGGTTAGCAGCTGCCAGCACGTAGAGGAAGTGCGTGTCCTGCAGTCAGACCAAGAGCAGGGGCAGATGCATGGGTGTGAGTGGGTAGGTATGGGTGCATGGGGTGGGGGTCACCACCCATTTGTGGATCTGAGTGCCTGCCTCTGCCTCACATGTGGACAGGTGAGGACATGCTCTCTTTCTCAGCATCGGTGCATCTCCGCAGAATGCAGAGGTGCCCACCTCTGCTCTGAGGAGCCACATTCCCATCTCGGGGCTCCCAAGGGACCCCACTCACTTGGCTGGCATCAAACTCCAAGGGCTGAGGACACCGTTTAGAACCCGACCAGAAAAGAGTCCCATCCTCCAGCACCTAGGGAAAGGGAAGCTGCTGGGCTCAGTCTGGTCACCCTGAGCTCTCAGCCCCCTGACCCCTAGCCACCTACTTTATCAGGTGGGAAGTGCTTCAGCAGCTGCATGATGCTATAACAGAAGCGTAGCTGCCAGTGGCCAAGGGCCCACACCACACAATCTTGCCAAGTCTGTGGACGCTCTCTCAGGACACCCAGCACCGCCTGCAGCAGAGTCAGCACCTGTGGCCTGTCTGTGTCTGCCAGAGAAGTGAGTGCCCTGCGGAGAGAGGAGGAGGTTTGAGGCTAAGCCCTGAAGACTCTGGTGCTAGGGGCCCTGGACTTCCATCCACCCCTGTTGGTGGCCTTACTGTTGGTGGTGGTTGATGGTCTCAGCAGCCAGATGGAAGAGCCCCTCAAACTCATCCCGGGCCCACTGTAGGGGAGGGAGGAACCGCGAGGTGTCAGGTAGGAAACAGGTCTGCAGTTGAGGACTGAACAGGGTGGGGGAGGGGTCCCTTGGGTGCTTCCCACCTGTACGGTGTGCTCAACTGTGCTGGGGAAGTGCCGCACAGTGCAGACAGGGTAGGGGGCATCCTCAGAAGCTGTAGCCGAGGCTGGGGCTCTGTAGGGCTCAGTCACATGTGGCATGAACACTGAAGCATGGCCCAGGGTGCCCTGTGTACCTGCTTCCAGCAGTGGCTTCAGATAATGGGTGCAGCGAACAGCCACATAGCGTCCTGGCAAGGGGACAGAGGGTCAAGAGTGGGGCTGGCACAGCTTTGGACAAGAGGCTGAGTTCCAAGATGGAGAACTCACGGGCCTGGAAACTGTCCAGGGCGGCAGCCACGCCATCCATACGGGAGAAGAAGTTGTCCCCGTAGATGTCCTCTGTACTGGGATCTAGCTGGTGGGTGAACGAGGTCACCTGCAAGTCTGAGTTCAGGCGGAGAGCGGCCTCTGCAGCCACTTCTGCCTTGGGCCTCTGAGAAGAAAGCAGGAAGACATTGGGTGGATGGGGGCATTGTAGGAGGAAAGTCCAGGACATAGCGGTATGGGGAGGGGTTGGCACTCACACCAATGTCCTGGGGCCTGAAGAGGAACTGACGGCTGAGGTTGGAGCGCTCTATGTGGTCCATGTCGGCAACAGTCACGCTCCCACTGCCCCTGGTCCCCAGGCCCACTAGGGCAAAGTTTTTGAGCAGCTCACAGCCAATAGCACCAGCACCCACCTGCCAGCAGGAGCAGCCTTAGCCAGAGGGCCTGGCCTAGCCCTCCCACAGACACTCCCAACCTCACCACACAGCTCACCAGGAGGTAATGTTGGTGGCTCAGCTTCTTCTGAAAACCAGCCCCGAACACTGCAATTTGCCCATCGTAGCGGCATCCTCTCTAGGAGACGCAGATAGTGGTCAGTGATGGCTGCTGGCCTGTGCTGCATCTCCCTCTTACACTGAGTTTTCCAGGTCTGGATCTTAGGGTGGTTCCTCTTGTTTCTCCCCTAATCTTGAGTTTAGATAAGGCTTACACCCCCACCCCAGGTTCTCACCGGTATACAGTCTTCGGGATTGGGAAGGGGCTTCCCATCTTCTGGAAGACAATCAAGGGCATCAAAGTACAGCCACTGGTCCAGGGGCATGAACTTCCTGGAAATTGCCTAGAGGCAAGCACTTTAGTTTAGGGACTCCTGCCACCTCCCAGCCCCTTCAGATCCTGGCTAGGGGCTGTACCCAGGTTGGTGAAGCCTCCAGGGCCACTGTCTGGTGTTGGGCACCCTTTGGCACCCACATTGACTTCTGCTCCCTTCCCAGCCCCACCCTGCCTGTGCCTGTGCCCACCTTGAGCACTTCCTGGGCAGCCATGGCACCCAATATGGCTGCCATGGGGCTCAAGGTACCAGCACTACTCAGGGCGACTGTCCGCACTAGAGCCTCATCCAGCGGCTCTTCCAATGGCTCTCCCTCTGTCCCCTTCAGTGGTTCCAGGGCCCGGGCCAGGCCCACCACCATGTCTGCGTCAACCTGTGGGGTAGAACTCTATGGGTACAGCAGCCTCAGCCTGAATTCTACACCCTACTCAAATCCTTCAGGCAGCCATCTACTCTGTCCCACAGAAGAGGAAGCAGAAACCTGAGGGGGAAGGCCCAGCCCATTTGCTAGATCAAGCAGCTCTACCAGAGGATGCCTAGAACCAGAGAGCAGCCCTGGAGGTTTCACTAACCTAGGGATAGATTCCAGCCCAGATCTGAGGAATTAGGAGGTAGCAGGGGTCTGCAGGATTTGTGGGGGACCCAGCCTCTGGTCTGGAGATAGTGCTTATCATCTCCTTTATATGAATGGGAAACTGCCTCTGGGATTCAAACTTGGATCTGTGAGATAGTCATTGTTGCCTCCTGGCAGGTGAGACCCCCAATAAGACAGAGGCTGGGGGAAGGGCAACAGGGCCACTCACAGGATCCCAGGGCCGGGGTGGGCGACCATTGTGGTGGTGGAACTTGTGCAGTGCACGGAAGGCCTGATGCAGGCAGTGGGCACGGTGAACTTCCTGGGGACTCTGGGCCACTACACGGGGCTGCAGCAGGGCTGCATCCAGGGGCTCCTGCAAGGGACACTTGGCTCAGGGTGGGGTCCAGAACACTATGGACCCCTCAAGGATCCCAAGCTCCCCCACCTCAGATGTACTTGCACGCACATGGCTCACAGTCTTGGGCCTCTTGACCTCAGTGACCGCCCCGCCACGCAAGTAACAGGAGAAAGTTGTTGTGTCCCCAATCTCCAATGTCCCATCCTCTGGGGGAGATCCAGCCTAGTCAGTATGACTTCTGAACCTGAGTAGTTCCTCACACCCCATTCTGTCTTGCATTGATGTCCTTGACCTTGCTCCACTGGGGAAAGGCAGAGGGAAAACCTATTCCCAAGGATCAGGCCGTGTGCCCCCACTGGGGGCGTGGGCGCTGAGCCTAGAGCTGGAGTAGGGTTGGCTTACCCTGCACATGGATAGGCCGGGGAGCACAGTCATTGAGCTCAACCATGCCCTCAATCCCTGAGAAAGTCACCAAGTCCCCACTGCAGAAATTCTGGCCATGAGCCTCTTTTTTCAGAGTGACAATGCCGGGGGAGCCCTGGATAAGAGATGGCTTGACTCAGGGGTGCTCGTACCTGCCTTCCACAGGCTGTAGCAGCCCCTCTTCAGTCAGCAAACGAGTGCCCACACCTTAGCACCCACCTGGGTGATGTGCTGGATGGCAGCTGTCAGGGGTTCTGCCTCTGTAGGGTCCTGCACGGTGAAGTCCTCACCAAAGTCACAGAACAACTGCCTGTAATAGGTGGTAGGGGTCACCGAGATGGCTCAGTGGTTAACCACCTTGGTTGTGCTGAAAAGTAGAGGACACTAGGACAAGCCCAGAGGGCCAGAATCAGGAAAGAAATGCTGGGAGAAGCTTGGAAGCTGGAGTTTGAGGGAGTTATTGGAGCAGGTTTGGAGGCTTGGGTGGAGGAAGCAGAGAGCTGGGACTAAGGACCAGAATCAGGAGGGGATGCTGGGACAGGCCTGGGGCTGGGTAGAAGGGCAATGGGAGCAAGCCTAGAGCAGCACTGGGACCAGTTGCTGTCTATAATGTGGCAGGCTAGGCAGGCAGTCTCACTCACCCGACAAGACCCCAGGTGTCAGCCACCAGAAAGCAGACTCCATGCTTGTGGCATAAGGTGCCCACCTTTAGTTGCTCCTCCAGCTTTGAGGCAGTCAGCACCACCACCTGAGTGGACCTCATGATCAGCAGGTCCAAAACACTGCCCAGCCCACCCTGCAGCTAAGGGCTGGAGGAGACTGGGATGGCCTGGAGAGTGGGGATGGGAAGGCACCTGGAAGTCCAGCAGCAGGTCCTCAGTGAGGTCACCTGTGTGGATGCAGACCTGGACAGATTCATTGAGCTTAGCGACCAGTTCTTGACATGCCTCAGCCCTGCTCCTTTCTAAGTCCCGCTTTGAGAGGAAAAACTAGAGAGAGAGACAGTCTGGCTTAAGCAAGATTTCTCTTGGGCTCTACCTCCACCCTGGTCTGAGAACCCACAGCCTCCCAGGACCCTTACCTGGGCAGCCAGGTCAGACCAGCAGGTGGGGTGAGGATCATGCAGAGTGAGGCTGCCCACACCCATCAGAACCAGGTTCTTGGCCACCTCAGCCCCCAAGCCCTGAAGACCTGACAGCAGGACCTTGGCTCCCTGAATCCTCTGCATGGCCGGCAAGCCCAGCACATACCTGTGGATGTGAAGTAAGAGGGCAGACAATTGGAGATCAGAGGTCAGAAGGCCACCCCACTTCTCTCCCCACTCCCCTCCCCAAGCCTCACATCTGCCGTGAGTACAGCTCCTCATCCAGTGACTTGGAGGTCTCCAGGACATCCATCCTTAGGCCTGGGGCTAGACAACAGGCTGCAGCGCTTATAGATAGGGTCTCTGTGTGGGAGGCAGTGTCAGCAGAGGCCAGTGCCGAGTTGTGGCTAGTACAAACAGGAACTAAGCCTAAGGAAGTGAAGGACGTTGCTGGTCACAGCTTTCTTCCCGGCTCCTCTGTCACCTCAGGGAAAGCAAAAGTGAAAGTTAAACTAGACTCTGAGTCGGCTCCTAGTCCTGCCTCCAGCCTGGACAGCCTAGCCTGGCAAAGATGAGTTCTGGCAGCCATAGGGCACAGGCAAGGTGGGACAGAACTCCTGGGTCTGTTTGGCCTCTGAGAGAGTAAGTACCTTTCTCGAGGAAGGGGACAGGGCCATAGGAGGGACCCATGTGGGCTGGATACAATGGTTTCCTGTGACTTCCTAGGTGTCCCAAACCTCGGGCCCCCATCCTCCTCAGGTACCCCTGCCTGAAGGGGCTTCCTACCCACAGAGTGCTGGTGGGAACTCCCTGTCCTGAGAGGGCTCACCTGGCCTGCTGTCCACCACACAGAAACTTAAAGACCATTCAGGGCAGAGCCAGTTTCATCCCAGAGGCTGTGAGAGCATATGAGTTTACATTGTCCCCACCCCAGGGCCCAAACCACAGAGCTGGGGGGAGCCTTACATTTTGGGGGGGTGCCTGCTTGGCCCTGAGCCATCTCCTCAGAGAATAAGGACTCTCCCCTGCCTATAGCTGCCACACCAGGCAGCTACAGGTAGCCAGTCAAGGATGAGTCCCAGGACTCAAAGGGAGTGGGCAGTCTCTAAGTGCCAGATCTGAAAGTTGGAGACATAGGGCAGCCATGATCACATGTGTCTTCATTTTTCATTTAAACTTTTATTTTGAAATAATTGTAGACTCAAAGGAAGTTGCAAAAATAGTACGGAGAGGTCCTGTGCACCCTTCACCCACAGATGTGTCCTTTTGCCTTCTAGGAACGTGGGGCCAGTTCTCTGAGGGATAGACCACAGCTCCCCACAAAACTCCACTATAGCTAAACCAGGTGCTGTCACAACTTTTTTTAAATTGAGGTAAAATTCATATGACATTAAAATAACCATTTTAAAGTGTACAATTCAGTGGCATTTAATGATTTCACAGTGTTGTGCAACCGCCACCTCTCTCCTAGCATCAAAACTTTTTCATAACGCACTGAAGAACACCCCACCACATTAAATAGACACTACCCATCCCCCACCTCCACCCCTGGACAAACACTCAACTATATTCTTTCTGTCTCTAGGGATTTGCCTATTCTGGATATTTCATATAAAAAGAATCATACAAAGTATGACCTTTGGTATCTACTTTCTTTCACTTAGCATAATGTTTGTTTTTTTTTGTTTTTTTTTTTTTAAAGATTTTATTTTTTCCTTTTTCTCCCCAAAGCCCCCCCGGTACATAGTTGTATATTCTTCGTTGTGGGTCCTTCTAGTTGTGGTATGTGGGACGCCGCCTCAGTGTGGTTTGATGAGCAGTGTCATGTCCATGCCCAGTATTCGAACCAACGAAACACTGGGCCGCCTGCAGCAGAGCGCGCGAACTTAACCACTCGGCCACGGGGCCAGCCCCAGCATAATGTTTTTGAAGTTCATCCAAATTGTAGCAAGTATCAGTACTTCATTCCTTTTTATGGCTGAACAATATTCCATTGTTTGCATATATCATAATTTGTTTTTTTTTTTTTAAAGGGTCTGTTCGGGTCGCCTGCCCATTTCTTTTTTTAAGATTTTATTTTTTCCTTTTTTCTCTCCAAAGCCCCCCAGTACATAGTTGTATATTCTTCATTGTGGGTCCCTCTAGTTGCGGCATGTGGGACACTGCCTCAACGTGCTTTGATGAGCAGTGCCATGTCCGCGCCCAGGATTCGAAGCAACGAAACACTGGGCTGGCTGCAGTGAAGCGCGCGAACTTAACCACTCGGCCACGGGGCCAGCCCCATAACACAATTTGTTTATCCAGTCACCTGTTGATAGACATTTGAGTTGTTTCCACCTTTTGGATATTATGAATCGTGCCGCTGTGATCATTCTTGAACATGTATTTGAGTACTTGTTTTCACTTCTTTTGGGTATATACCTAGAAGTAGAATTGCTGAATCATATGGTAATTCCATTTTAATTTTTTGAGGGACCAACAAACTATTTTCCACCAGCAATGTACAAAACTCCTATTTCTCCACTTTGTGGCCAACACTGGTTTTTCATTTTTTCAAAAATTATACCCATCTTAGTGGATGTGAATTGGTAGGTAATTGTGGGGTTTTCTTCATTCAATAAACATTTATTGAGTGTGTCACAAGTACTAGGTACAGCAACCGGGGCCAGATTGTCTTTTTGTGACTGGCTTATTTCACTTAGCAAATGGCCTCAAGGTCCACCCATGATGTAGCATATTGCAGAATTTCCTTCCTTTCTAATACTCCATTGCATGCATATACCACATTTCACTTATCCATTCATCCATCAATGGACACTTGGGTTGCTTCCACGTTTTGGCTATTGTGAATAATGCTGCTATGAACATGAGTGTACAAATATCTTTTTGAGATTCTGCTTCCAATTCCTTTGAGTATATACCCAAAAGTGGAATGGCTAGATCATATGGTAATTCTATTTTTAATTTTTTGAGGAACTACCATACTATTTTTCCACAGTGGCTGTACCATTTTACATTCCCACTAACAGTGCACAAGGGTTCTAATTTATTTGAATCCTCACTAACACTTGTTTTCTGTTTTTTTGATAGTAGCCATTCTAATGGGTATGAGATGGTATCTCATGGTAGTTTTGATTTACATTTCCCCGATGATTAGTGATACTGAGCATCTTTTCATGTGCTTTATTGGTCATTCGAATATCTTCTTTGGAGAAATGTCTATTCAAGTCCTTTCCTCTTTTTTGAATTAAGTTGTTTGGGTTTTTTTTGTTGAGTTTTAGAAGTTCTCTATAGATTCTGGATATTATCCCTTATCAGATATATGATTTGCAAATGCTTTCTCCCATTCTATGGATTGCCTTTTTACTATATGGATAGTGTGTTTTTGGTGTTAGTTCTTTTTTAAATGTTTCATAGAATCATCAGTGAAGCTCTCTGGTCCCGGGCTTTTCTTTTGGGGAATTTTTTGAGTATTGACTCAATCCCCTTACTATTTGTTTATTTTTTTCAATTTTATTTATTTATTTTTAATTGCAGTAACATTGGGTTATAACATTATATAGCTTTCAGATGTACCTCAATATATTTTGAATTCTGTGTACGTTACATCATGGTCACCACCCAAAAAATCATTATAGTCCATCCCCTCACATGTGAGCCTAATCACGCCTTTTGCCCTCCCCCCACTTTCCCCAGGGTAACCACCAATCTATTCTCTGTTGCTACGTGTTTCTTTGTTGTTGTTTTTATCTTCTACTTATGAGTGAGATCATATGGTATTTGACTTTCTCTCTCTGACTTATTTCACTCAGCATAATACCCTCAAAATCCATCCATGTTGTCACAAATGGCCAGATTTCATCATTTCCTATGGCTGAGTAGTAGTCCATCATGTATAATTACCACATCTTCTTTATTCATTCGTCACTTGATGGGCACCTAGGTTGCTTCCAAGTCTTAGCTATTGTATATAATGCTGCAATGAACATAGGGATGCAAGTATCTTCATGCCTTTGTGTTTTCAATTTCTTTGAATAAATACCCAGCAGTGGGATAGCTGGATCATATGGTAGATCTTTTTTTTTAAAGATTTTATTTTTTTCCTTTTTCTCCCCAAAGCTACCCAGTACATAGTTGTATATTCTTCATTGTGGGTCCCTCTAGTTGTGGCATGTGGGACGCTACCTCAGCGTGGTTTGATGAGCAGTGCCATGTCCGCACCCAGGATTCGAAGCAACAAAACACTGGGCTGCCTGCAGCGGAGCGCGCGAACTTAACCACTCAGCCGCGGGGCCAGCCCCCATATGGTAGATCTATTCTTAATTTTCTGAGGATACTCCATACTGCTTTCCATAGTGGCTGCACCAGTTTGCACTCCCACCAGCAGTGTACAAGGGTTCCCATCTCTTCACATCCTCTCCAACATTTGTTGTTTCCTGTCTTGTTAATTATAGCTGTTCTGATCGGAGTGAGGTGATACCTCATTGTAGTTTCGATTTGCATTTCCCTGATAGCTAATGGTGTTGAGCATCTTTTCATATGCCTGTTGGCCATCCGTATATCTTCTTTGGAGAAATCTGTTCAGATCTTTTGCCCATTTTTTAATTGGGTTGTTGGTTTTATTTTTGTTGAGCTGTATGAGTTCTTTGTATATTTTGGATATTAACCCCTTATCTGATATATGGTTTGCAAATATCTTCTCCCAATTGTTAGGTGGTCTTTTCACTTTGTTGATGGTTTCTTTTGCTGTGCAGAAGCTTTTTAGTTTGATGTAGTCCCATTTGTTCACTTTTTCTTTTGTTTCCCTTGTGTGGTCAGACATGGTACTTGAAAATATGCTGCGAAGACTGATGTCAAAGAGTGTACTGCCTATGTTTTCTTCTACAAGTTTCATGGTTTCGGGTCTTACAGTCAAGTCTTTAATCCATTTTGGGTTGATTTTTGTGCATGGTGTAAGGGAATGGTCTACTTTCATTCTTTTGCATGTGGCTGTCCAGTTTTCCCAACAGCATTTATTGAAGAGACTCTCCTTTCTCCATCGTATGCTTTTGGGTCCCTTGTCAAATATTAGCTGTCCATAAATGTGTGGGTTTATTTCTGGGCTCTCGATTCTGTTCCATTGATCTGTGTTCCTGTTTTTGTACCAGTACCATGCTGTTTTGGTTACTATGGCTTTGTAGTATATTTTGAAATCAGGGAGTGTGATACCTCCAGCTTTGTTCTTTTTTCTCAGGAATCCTTTGGCTATTCGGGGTCTTTTGTTGTTCCATATAAATTTTAGGATTCTTGATTCTATTTCTGTGAAAAATGTTGTTGGAACTTTGATAGAGATTACATTGAATCTATAGATTGCTTTAGGAAGTATGGACTTTTTTTTTTAAAGATTTTACTTTTTTCCTTTTTCTCCCCAAAGCCCCCCGGTACATAGTTGTATATTCTTCGTTGTGGGTCCTTCTAGTTGTGGCATGTGGGACGCTGCCTCAGTGTGGCTTGATGAGCAGTGCCATGTCTGCACCCAGGATTCGAACCAATGAAACACTGGGCTGTCTGCAGCAGAGCATGCAAACTTAATGACTCGGCCACCAGGCCAGCCCCAGTATGGACATTTTAACGATGTGAATTCTTCCAATCCAAGAGCACGGAATATCTTTCCATTTCTTTGTGTCTTCTTCAATTTCATTCAACAATGTTTTATAGTTTTCGGTGTACAGATCTTTCACCTCTTTGGTTAAGCTTATTCCTCGGTATTTTATTCTTTTTGTTGCAATTGTAAATGGGATTGTATTCTTAATTTCTCTTTCTGTTACTTCATTGTTAGTGTATAGAAACGCAACTGATTTTTGTACGTTGATTTTGTATCCTGTGACTTGTTTGTATTCCTTTATTGTTTCTAAAAGTTTTTTAGTGGATTCTTTAGGGCTTTCTAGATATAAAATCATGTCGTCTGCAAAGAGTGACAGTTTCACTTCTTTTTCCAATGTGGATCCCTTTTATTTCTTTTTCTTGCCTGATTGCTCTGGCTAGGACTTCCAATACTACGTTAAACAAGAGTGATGACAGCAGGCATCCTTGTCTGGTTCCTGTTCTTAAAGGGATAGCTTTCAGTTTTTCTCTGTTGAGAATGATATTTGCTATGGGTTTGTCATATATGGCCTTTATTATGTTGAGGTATTTTCCTTCCATACCCATTTTATTTAGAGTTTTTATCATAAATGGATGCTGTGTCTTGTCAAATGCTTTCTCTGCATCTATTGAGATGATCATGTGATTTTTATTTTTCATTTTGTTAATGTGGTGTATCACGTTGATAGATTTGCGGATGTTGAACCATCCCTGTATCCCTGGAATGAAACTCACTTGATCATGATGTATGATCTTTTTAATGTATTGTTGTATTCAGTTTGCTAGTATTTT